AAGTGCGTTCGCGTTCAGCTTTTGAAGAATGGCAAGAAAATAACTGCTTTTGTTCCTAACGACGGTTGTCTGGGTTTCATCGATGAAAATGACGAGGTGCTCGTAGCTGGTTTCGGTCGTAAGGGTCACGCCGTTGGTGACATTCCTGGAGTTCGCTTCAAGGTTGTCAAAGTGGCCAACGTCTCCCTCCTGGCTCTGTACAAACATAAGAAGGAGAAACCTCGATCCTAGATGTATGCTGCCATCCCTCAATATATTTGTGGTGCCCACTCCTTCCGCTTTTGAACATGTTTATTTAGAAGAACAGTCGGACCGGCGTTTACTGTACACTCCAGTTTATCGCCTGATTTCTAGCTCATTTTCATTGTTCCTCACCTGTTGGGCGTGTGGACCGCGTGAAGCAGTTTGGGACTCTTTGGATCTATTCTTTTTGCACTATTTGGTGTCGCTCTCTCGAAATTCACTCAACTGCCATCGATAGGATCGCATTCTTCCAATATGATTTAGAATAGGCTGTAGCATATTAGTTTCTTTATTGTATAAAACATTACAATGCGTAACTTAGCATGACATCCTGCTTTGCGAATTCCAGCAACATTGGGTCATCGAAGTACTTGTTGATGCTCACGTCTTCATTGAGGCCCTGCAAAGAAAGATGAGTTGTTGGTCGGAGTTGCGGCCATTGAGAACTTGTAAGGTTAGAACTGGGGGATGAGGGTGCTGAGTACTCACCTTCCTTCGCCTTGTCTTAATCATAAACTCGCGAGCAAGGTGAGTGGCCGGTTGCGCCACCAGAGGCTGTATTTGAATGGTGCGGTCTAGTGGGTCTCCAGGCACCATCTGCCAATGGTTGAAAACGGACATGCAAAAGGCTTGACCCTGCGAGTGTGTTCGTAGATCTGTCTCAAAACCGAAAGAGTCAATCACTGGCAGAAAGGCTTTAATTATGTAGAGCGGTGATCCGGAGATTGGAGCATCGTGAGTAACGTGGCCTCTAAAGATGAAAATTTGGGGTATCCAGTGCGAGTTTGGGGAGAAGGAATAATAGGAGTATGAATGTTTGTCTCACCGTCGAAGATTGAGAACGTTGTAGACAGCAGATACACAGTCGGCAGGGGCCTGGACTTCGACGTAGTAGTACGGTTCCATGAGTCGTGGTGTGGCCATCATGAAGGCAGAGTAGGCGACTCGACGGGCCGTCGGAATTATCTGACCTGAGCCACGTTGATGTGCCTCGCCCGAGATCAGAGCGTCCAAGATCTTAAACTTCACATTTCGAATCGGTTCATCGCAAAGAGGACCCTCTCGTGTACCCCATTGGAAACCCTGCGTGTACAGTGACAATTGAGTACATTGTAGGCATGTTTGAGAGCGATGCTCCTGCTATAAATGATAGCTGGAGGGGAACAAACCTGTACGATATAGTCCCTCACTGAGCCCAAAAGCCCCTTGTCAACTTCTGATGGGAGAGTGTCGTCCACTAGAATGTTCGGGCCTGTTGAATCTGGACCGAAGGCCCAAATGGATCTAAAATCGCACCGTGTAACAAACGAGTAACCAGTATCCTGTCAATACACTAAAAAGCATTCATAAACAGAGGCTCCAGACACAGTCGCTCATGCCTGAATAAATGTAGACAACAAAGACTCACCTCGCGGCAAGAAGGTCCCACTCATACTTTTTGAGGAAAAATTCTCCTAGTTGCTTTTTAGGCCAGTCGATCCGAACCACTTTATTTTCAATATCTTCCGCCAGACCCTTATCAAGTGGTTCGGCTATCATGGTGATCTTGTTCCTAGTAGAAAAACAAATTCATGGTTAAAATGTGTAAAGCAGATGTAGAAAGAGACATGAGTCATTTGGGAATTTTATGAGAGCGAGGATTTGGTTGTTTGAACGTCATAATCTTCGCAACAATGTGAGAGAAAGTGAATTCTGAAAAGTTACTGGGATTCAAGTGGATACATCATAATCTTATTATGCAACAATAAAATTCGTTTGTTTTACCCAAGAATGGGGGATGGCGACTGTTGGACTGTAAAGGTAGGATAGTAAATACATTAACACTACCAGCAATTGCCCTAAAAGAGGACTTACTTCTTATTCGGTGACTCTGAAAAGCACTTTAGGGACGAGGTTTCAACGACAGTTTCACAGAACGCTACGACAGGATCGGCTACTTTAACCTCTGAAAGAAAAGCAGCACGTGTAACCATCCACAATAGTATATTGAAACCATCGAAAAGTGGCTCAAATACCTTCATGATTTAGGCATTCTGACTGGAATGTACCAAACGAGACCAACTTACCAATGTCAGAATAGAGCTTGCGGAGGTCATGCATTACACAGTCGAGGTAGAGCTCTCCCGTCCCTCGAATAATCCGTTCACCCGACTCCTCCACCTTTGTCATAAGCAAGGGGTAACTTTTGTTAACCTACAGCAAAACCAATCTTTACTTTCGCGCATAGGAAGGGTGTTGATTAACCACCTAGCCCCTTTCACAACGTTTACCTTCCTCAGACCATCAAGCATTTTTGGAAGCTCTGAGGGATTAGCCGGTTCAACAGAGATCTTGACGATTGAGATAGTATTGAATGTAAGTGGATGAAAGATGAAAGCTTCATTATCCGAATGAGCAGATGTGATTGTTGACGTCTTGACAATCGCTTGATCTACACCCTCTATCAGTACCCAGTTGCCTGCAGGCACACGATTCACCTCAAGACGATATCTACAACAGACCACAAGAAACCATCCCTTTCCGTAAATACCATTATTGTAGGGATGCAGAAATAGTATGTACCTACCGGCCGCAAAAGATCCAGAGTCGCCCAACAACAGCGGGACGAGAATCCTCTTCATCGTTAAGGGAGTACGCCTCCCCAAGCACCCGTACATCCTGTCCAGCTTCCAAACGGCCGGAGAGAACGCGTCCAAATGCGTGGAAAGAAACAGCATCCTCATCGGGGTATAGCTTTGTTGTATGCACCATGAGATGTGGTGACTCCGCACGGCATGCGATCATATCTCGCGCGATGGCGGAGTCCAGAGGACCCGAGTAAGTGTGACTAATCTTCACTCTAGCGCTTTCCACCGGACTGGGCACATGTTTCACACACATTGAAACGAAACCAGAAAAATCACCAAAGAATCGACTAAAAATAATCCGCAACAAAGGACGGACGTTGAGTCTGAATTCCGACTTAGAAAGATGAATGCCAAGTTCATTGCAAAGTTTAGGCAAACAAGTGTCAACATCTCCGGCGGTCTGAGCAAATATTTTGTAGATTGGCTCGAGAATGAACTCCACGAAGGAGCGAACGGAGGATGCAGTTGGCGGCTTCGATTTGAAGGTTCTCCTTTAACAAAAGCACCTGAGTAATAAGCGTTGAATTCAAGCATCGCAAAAAGAAAAACTCACGAGTCTGAACTGAAGTACTGGTCGCCCCAAAGTCGCTTGGCAAAGCTCCTGAAGTCGACAGAATCAGCAAAAGTGTCAGTGTAGATTTTAGCAAAAGATTCCAATGTAAAGCAGAATCGATAGTAGGAACTTGCAAAGCACACGTTGCCTAGAAGTGGACTAACTATATGCTGCGGTTCGAGAGATACACCTGGAAAAGAAGCGTGTATAGCAAAATCGTGTCGTCGAGGTAATAAGGCAAAAAAAACTCAAGGCTACATACCAGCTCCCTCTGAGAAAGTGGAAATTAAAGAGTTGACCTCGTCGATAATGTTCTTGATCTTATAGTAAGCATCATTTGGCGGTAGCTTAAGCTCGAGAACAAGCCGGTCAATTTTGTTGAGGCAAAGAAGAATGGGGAGGTGTTCCTGAAGTGCATGTTTAATCAGCCGTTCTGTGTTCATCAAAACACCCTCACTGACATCCACAAATATGCACACAGCATCACACAGGCGGAAGGCCGCCGTCACCTCATCAGAGAAATTCACATGACCTAAAGGGAAGTACACCTGATGAATATTCAAAACTCAAAGGAAACAATTGTGATATACTGCTGGATTTGAAAAACAGAGTTTTTCAGAAAATTAAGTTGTACAAGCATCACAACGCAATAGCGGAAAAAAATAAAACCATAGATATCCATATTAACGCTAATAAATCCAGTAGAAAATGCAGTAGTAAAGAAAACATCAAAGCAACATACCAGGGGTATCAAAAATGTTAAGAAGATATGATTTATTCTTTAGGTCAGACAGAACTAACGTCATCGGAGTAGATTTAACACTCAAACCACGCTCAATTTCAAGTTTGAGATAGTCCGTATACCGCAACTAGAAAGAAGGCGCATAATTTATTCAATGCAATGATTTCAAAAACAACTGTAACTCACATCCTTGTCTTCCTTTGCCCTAATATCCGGGTGCGTTTGCTCTATAAGGCAATCGACAAATGACGTCTAAAGAGAACGGATGGGATTAAAGTATTTTTGTACTTTTCCGTGATGCAGATGCCCACAGAACGCAACGCTGCGAATGAGTTCGGGACAATCCATAAGGTCAGCCAAGAACTCTGGATCATACGTAGTCTCAGGCAAGGAATATTCAGAGTAGGCAAAATTCTTCCTTTTGATGGGCTCAATCAGAGGCTGAGTCAAGGGTTGAGCATCCTCCTCTTGAACCAAGGTTTCAACATCAGGCCCATAGACTTCAAGTGCACTAGGATAATACTTCTTATCATCATGTAGAACCACCTGGAAAAAATATGAAGCATGAGTAAGTTCTGTCAGTACAGAAGTAAGAGCTGTTTGAGAAAAACCGATACTGAGAAAGCCTCATCAGTTTTCTCGAGCAGTTGCATGGCGTGACTGTGATCCTCCTTTTCCTCTGGTTCTTCTTCAGCAACGCTATCAGCATCCTCCTCTACCTCTTCATCGGATAAAATATTTGGACCTATGTAATTCCCAAATTCGTCGTACAAGTCCGCATCCATTCTCCAAAAGTCTGTTGAAAGGCTCCCAACCAAAACCATTTGCTATGTGGATGAGGTTCTGGAATTATTCTCTTTTTAGAGGCACAATCGAAAAAATTAGTTAATTTAAATAAAAAGCATTATTTTCGATCATTCGTTTGAGCAATTGTATTTTGCCTAACATGGTGATGTAATAGGATAGCAACTCTATGGCATACTGTCTAGTCTGAGGCACATTAAGATATAAGCAGACGTATGGATCCTTGCAACTGCTCCACTTTTTTGCTTGTTTTTATTTATGATGACCTTGCGAATTTTTAATCATGGATGTGGTAATGCGTTCTTGGTGATGTCGCTGTTACTTTTAGGGTGAAGTACCTGAGCTAGAGGATTGCTCAGACATTTTTGCTGACAGCCATTCGAGTAGCAGATCTGACACTAGAACCAGTGTTGAATGCGTTGAAAGCGCTTCTAAAACTGAGGTTCGAATGCGTGTTTTTTACATTTCCATAGCTAGATAAGGACACACGAATGGCCTTTAAGAAGGCTTTACAAGGGAAAATGAACCCATGGAAGTCTTCTGTGCCTCAAAGATTCATAACTTTGCCGGAAACAACGAAATCAAAGTTAGAAGATCGAAACTTACCGAGTACAGCATTCGTAATTAATTAAGAGGTGCTTGTAGTATGTTGAGCTGTGTTTGCATAGGTGTCCATTTTTTCGTATCCTGTAGTCAATGTATTGGTGACTCGACGGCCCGATTTGCCGTTTATGCCAAGCGTTGCATATTCTCCTACAGATGTTTTCCTCTTTGATAGTTTAATTTCCCGATCAGAAATTGGCAGTACATTGGGCCTTTCATTGATGCTAAGGGCGCTTTCTTCCATTCATTTGTACAGTCAACGTCACAGTTTAGTTTCACATTGCCCACCGGTAGGAAGGTCGTTTCTTTCCTTAATTTTCGCAAAGTTTTGAAATGATTATTTTTTTTGCAATACTAATCGCTAACGGTTTTATTTTTTAATAGATTGGATCACAGATGATTTATTGGCCAAAATTCAATCAGAACCAATGGTTAATTCGTGGTTTCAAAACCCACAAAAAGCATCTCTTTTAACCGAACTCCAAAAGAACCCTAAAGCATTTTATGACCAGCAAACCACCAAGGAAGATGTCACCGCTATTCAAAAATTCGCAGAGATCTTGGGTAGCTCGTCATGGCCTTTGCATAGCGGATTTTCGGCTTCTTAGCTTTTCAACGTTCTAATTCGCCTAGCTCATTAACGCCATTACCGTATACACTTCTGATTTTTATGATACCAATAACTAGTTCTAATGTTACATTAAGCTTTTTACCAGATCCATACATAATTAAATGGCTCAAAATCATAATATTAAATGTTTGTTATTCTTTTAGTTCTTGCATTGCTAAGGCAAGAGGTGGTTGCATTTTTGCCTATATACTAATTTATAATCCTGCTACTAAATAAATGCAATTTGTCTTGCGAAATCAGGTGAACACTTTGAGAACTTGGCTAGTCAGGAGGAAAAGGAGGCAAAGATGAAGCCACCAACTCAAACTCATAAACCTTTAATCGAGGAAGTTTTAAGTTCGGAAGAGAAAGAACTTCAAAACACCGCTGACAAGTTGCTGTCAAACGAGGAAATTAGGTGCGCTCTGCAAGATAAGAATGTCTATGAGATTATTGAATCCCTTCGCACTGATCCGGAAAAGGGGCAAATGTAAGTATTGCATGCATAAGCATTACATGGTACTTTGAGACATCAGTTGCTTCCTTTTTTCATTTGGGTCGTCAACTATCCTTTAACATAATGTTGTTGGTTGTGCACAGTGATCCACAATGCAAAGAATGAAAGTGTAGTTTCATTCGAAATACTGGATCTGTGGAATGATCAATATAATGCATAGAAAATAAGTGTGTCTTCCGATACTATGCAATGCAATTTGCATCTAGATCTCCCCATGTTCGCAATATATAAAAATATATTTTCCCTCTAGGTTGGCAAGCTGTGCTCCTTCAGACGTGAAAGAGAAGCTCAGCCTCCTTATACGTAATGGCATTCTTGGTGTCGAATGACATTTTTGTTTGTTAACGTTTAATCCATATTCCACATTTTTTAATAGCCATTCATGTACATCATAAGCCTTCCAAATGTTCATCAAATTCGCCTCCATTTTGTTACTGTAAAACATATCGATGAGGCCTCATCCATAAAGGTTCACCTACTGCTCAAATGGTGGAAAACAAGACTACTATGTGGATGTGTTTGTTTACAAGCATAAACGCTTGAGAGGGAAAATAGTGTACAGAACGAAAGGAAAAGACGTTAGGTAGTAAACTGTTCAAATAGAAGGATGAAAGTTAAAGGAAATGCCCACATCGGCCATCGCATTTTCAATGCCGAACAGACCAGATCGTACCGGATGTCAGGGCCTTCTGAAATGCACAAAACTTTAATATTGTCAATAAGGTTAACTTCTATGCCACAATGAAATACCGCATCACTAAGTCTGTAAGCTGTGCCTAGACATCAATTATGTAGTTTTGTTATCAACGCCTGACCAACTTGCCTTCCTCCTTATGGAATTAAAGGCACAAGAGCAAAAAGGCAATAAACCGACCCCATGATGCTCCAGGTACACATTGGTCTCTGGGGATCATTTGAAATTGCACGATCGGGGAGGACATTTTTCCTACACCACCTCTACTGTACGCATACACTCGCAGATTGTAGCGTTTGTTAATATCCAGATTTTGAACGTAGCCGTAAGTCCTCAACCTCACGTCTACGTCTGTGTGTGCCTCCTTGTAGTTCGAGCCCACCAGCCAGTAACGAATGCGATAGCCCAAAACCGCTTCCTCATTCAGAGTAGTCTGCACGCCTATCCAACTCACTCGCACGGTCCGTGGGTAGTGTGTGCTGTTCAATTGAACCATGGTGGGAAAACTTTGGGGCCAGAGTTTGTAAGTTGTCTGCTCAGCAAATCCTGATGGTGGTCCATCGCCTGCAGTATTGAAGGCCTAGAGGGTTCAGCCAATGTAGGAGATTACATCTCGTGAAGCTTCAACGCGATTTGTAAGATCGCAATTTACCTGAACCGCGACACAGTAATAAATATCCTGCTCTAGACCGATAATGAACCCAGAAGTCAGGTCAGCGCCATAAAGAGTGCGCCGCTGACCTTGTTCAAAGCGCTCAATATCGGATTCTATGCCGAGACATTCTAGATTGCGGCGCCAGTAGATAAGTCGGTAACCCAGAATGGGGCCCTCTTCGCCACTTAGCAACGGGGGTTCCCAGGTAATTTGAAGGGCACTGCCGTTGTACTGGTTCGCCTGTTGATTGCGTGGAGCAGTTACTAGCAGCCGAGCAGCTGACATTATCACCACTGGATCAGTGATTGGTCCAGGACCCTAAAAAGTGAACACAGTCGTTATTAATACAGCAAATGCTGGTTTGAATGGTGAAATCTGTTTGAGAAACGTGAAAATCGCTATCAGTACTAATTTTCACATCAATTCTCCATTAACTTCGCCATTTCAAGCAGATATAATGGGCAGTAGCCTAATGATGGGACTTGCTCGTAGCAAAAATAGAACCCAACTCAGGCAAGCAATTGAATTCACAAAAATTTTTAATCCTCGTCGAATAGGTCATAAAGCCTATTAAATGACATCCATTTCACTTTGCCAATGCAATCAGTGTTCCAGAGCTCCCACACGCTTTTGATCGAGATATTGCGTGTTAGTGAATTCACCTTTAAAAATACTATTTCCGACCTAAATTGCAGAGTACAGACATGCAATGGAAGAGCTAGTGCAACTCCGTGCTACTGAGTCTACAGATCTACTACCTGATTGTTGACAGCTTGAATAGTGACCTCGTAGGGCTTATAATAGCGCAGAACTGGTAGACTGATTGTGCACTGCACCCACGTGGTATCGGGCACCGGCGAAGGCTCGTAAACGAGGGTTGTAGTGTACTCGGTGTCCTCCCACGCTCTCCATTGAAGTGAGTAATGAAAGCCTTCCCCATTCTGTTCCACGTGTGACAGCGGCTCCCACTTCACCACCAGCGTGCCCTGAAGTGAAGCTAATTAAGGTTAGACCGAGTAAATCCCTAATCATTCACCCTAGCTACATATTCTTTTAATCATAGAGCTATTCACCAATTAGGAAATACTTAAACTGTGATCCAGTGTTTTTTCTCTATCTTTAGGTTGTTTCGTAACTAGTCGTAAGACGCTCAAAAGACTGGGGCTGAAATTCAACGACATGAATTTCTTTTGCTTGCAAATATGATCGCCCACAATTCAACCCTTACTTCCCTGCCTATTGCTATCAGTGCAAACCAAACAAAAGCGCAGATACTCCACTCTCATACTTTACCTCCTTACCACCGCCTCCGGTAACGTTTCGGACCATCTTTGTCGGTGCCTTCGGAAGAGTGACGATCCCACGTGATGGTCTCGAAGGCTCCCCAACACCCATTGCATTCACTGCTCGGACGCGAAGTTGATAGGGTATGTTTGAGTAAAGGTTTCCGATTGTTGTTGTTCTGCGTTTGCTATTTTGGCCTTAGTAGCAATGAAAAGTACGAAAATTCATGAATAACTCGATAAAAAGTTGGTAAATAGGAGCTTTTCTATAAGTTCTGGTACGCTTTATTCTGACCTGTCTACCACTGCACCTTGCGTGTTCGTTACCACCTAAGAACTGTACACCTCGCTTCAATGCTTACTTAGTGAGAGTCCACAAGTGTCGCAAATTCACCTTATGGTGCTAATTTTACATGACTTAAAAAGTGATCCAAAAAGCGGGGCAATTAAGTTTCAGTCGAACCGAACCCACCTATCACTATGTCGGCAGAGTCGTTGAGGCGCGTCACCACCACTGACCACGGCTCGTCGGCTACTTTAGCCTCAATTATGAAGTATTCAATTGCATGGAAGTGATCTGCTCCAATGGTCCAATTCACCATAACCAACTCGGTGTCTGGAATTGTTGATGCCTCCACACCTTTGCGTCAAAGATCGAGGTAAAAAATAATTTAAAAAGGCCATTGACACGCATGTCATATTGCTGCGGAAGTAATCTACCGAGACCACTGCCCGCCCACTTACCTGCGCAGGGACCGGGTGGACCTGCAACGAGGATATAGGCGGTGGCACGGTCTCGAGATAGCGGTGTCTGGGCCTCGCAAGTGTACCGGCCGGCATCGTAGAGCTGGATGTTTACTATGTGCAGAAAGCCAAAATCTCGATCATAAGGGCGTAGAAATTTCGTCGTTTCGTAGCGCCGTGCGTCCACATCGAGTCGATCAAATTTAATCTCCACATCCTATTTCATTCATACAAAAGAAATCAGAGAAGGTTGGGACCAAATTGACGATTTTGCGTCTTATATCCTAATGGTTTGCTTTCATTATATTTACTCTTTTGTTTAAACGAATGCTTTTCCAAGCTCACAAATCAATGGTAGCGAAACATACTGTGCTTCTGATTTAATAGGAGACCTAAGAGATTACTCTCATAGGAAAAACGCCACGTTTTAATAAGAATAAGTATGCAGTTTTTTTTCAGGTTTACCTCGTAGAACCAAGCATAGTTGACATCGAGGAACGAGCTGACATTCGCCTTGCAAGGCACAATAACTGTTGAGTTAACGTCTACGATGGTGTTTTGGGGTTGTAATGTGAGGACTAGTGGATCGATCACTGTGAGATGGGCTGATGTGTCGGCCACGCCAAATTGGTTCTCGGCTCGGCACATGTACAGACCCTCTTGCATTCTTGTCAGCTGTGCCACCAACAGGTTCCCACTTGGTAGAGTGCAATACGTTATGGGACACTACAAAGTTTTGGTCATTACAACTCTATCAACTTCATATTGAACAAAAAAGGTGACCCAAACTCACAGCAGGTTCGCCGGTGGTCGGATCTATGGTGCTGGGGATAGGAGCAAGAGCTGCTCCCTGGAAAAACCAGGTGATGGTAGGCTTAGGAGCAGCTTCAGGCTGACACGTCATGACAGCGCTGTGGCCTACCATACCTAGCACCGGTACCATTGGATTCTTCTGAAAGTTTGGCGCGAAAGCAAGCACGCGTAATTCACCGGAAGAAGAAACACTACCCAGACTATTTACTGCTATACAGTCGAACATTGCTGAGTCGGTAGCAACCACCTGGAAACAGTAAGAGGAGAGGTTATGCTATCATGTCCTCAGTAGCAGGACGTACATTGGAGATAACCAAAGAAGCAGGTTCTCTGGTGCCATCCGCGAGAACATAACGGCTAGCGTCGAGTTGGCCAGCGTCGATAAGGTTACGAACCCTCACACCATTACGATACCAGTATTGAGTGGGTTCAGGTATGCCATCAGCCTCACAGACCATCGTGACTGTGGTTTGAACCGCCACTACCTCGTCTTTCGCCTTGTTAGTGAAGTAGGGCAATGCCCTGATCTGCAAACTCACGGTTCGCGGGTCCGCCCGGCTTCCTTTTGTATCCGTTACCTGTTGTAATGGGTCATATTGGTAGTTACGATTTAATCAAAAAACCTAAAGAAAGCAAACTACAATCTTATTAAATCTTCACGACAATGAGCTTGCACTAGTGTTCCTCCAACTGTTACTCCGGTTTTCAAATGGGCGCAGCACTCAATGCACTACTATTCGACTACCTCCATGAACTATGGCCACTTGAATGTTGAAAAAGCTGAATATAAATACAAGTATTTCCCCCTACCGAATATCGTCTTCTGTCTAATGGGGAGCCCCAGGGCGTTTTACATGGTGGTTCTCTAAATTCAAATAATGTGATCTTTGATTGTTCTGCGTTGTCAGTGAATAAGGCAAATTGTAGTAGATCAGTTGAAAAATCATAGGCTGGTAAACACATTGCGTATTCTTTAATTTCTTGTCTTCGATCAAACCAGTCCCTTCATGACTTTATATTTCGTCAGTGGCAGTGAAAATGCAGTGAGCGAGGTCTACGAACTCTACTTATTGTCCTGAGAGAGTGGAAAGTATTTCATGTTGATAAACTTCTGCTTTCTTTTGATAAGCTGTAAATTTGGGGTCAATGCCTACTACGCCTCTAATAACAACAGATAAGCATTTTTATATTTTGCATTTTACTTACGCTACATTCATAAACACCCTGATCCTCAGGTTGCACTTGAGGAATATCGATGACGCGGTTTAGTTCCCTTAATCTGTTTGCAGGGATCGAAACTCCATCCAGCTGCGAAGAAAAAAAAATAAAAAGTTAATTTAACCATATTGGAAGAACAATAAAATGGAAAGAATTGAGGTTGTACCCTGCGCCAGGTGTATTGCAGTGGTCCAGACTGCACACTGCCACCGGCAAAGCATTCAATCCTGACGGGGTGGCCACGAATGGGATCGCTGGGCCAAATGGCTGGAAAACTGTCGTAGATGCGAGGTTCCTGTGTCCTATAATTGCTCTCCATCACTTTCAATGGCATGTCTGGTGATTTCGGTGAGTCGCTTAGTCGAGAGCCCAGTTGGTACATTGTTATCATGCACACATATGTTCCTGAGTCCTACAACACCCATAATGCCTCCTTATGATCATCTGATAACATTTCACGACAACTTTAGGAATTAAAAACAAGCATACCTGCGTCGTGGCTTCAGAAAAACCGATGAGTGCCTGTGCTTGAGAGACGAAAACTCCTGGACGAGCCGACAGCACCAGTGGTTCAAGACGCAGTCCTTTTCGCATGTAAAACGAGTATATCAGACCTACAAAGTTCGACAGTAAGTCTGTTACTTGCTGCAAATCCATGAAGGTAATGGGGAAAATACTTCTTTACTTTATTTTTCCTTCAAAATAAGCCCGAAATCTTACTGTCTCTAGGAGAGTGAGCAGGAGGGTCGCAAGGAATAGTAACGCTTTGATAAGCCGCTGCGATTCTAGTTTTGCGAGGGTGTTTCGGGAAGGTCTCTAATTGGCCAAAGACTATTTTTGCAGTTCGGCTTAGAATGCTTCCAAATTGATTATACGCTTCACATTGGTAATATTCTGAATCAAGAATTGATGAAGGAGAATGTATCACCAAGTTGCCCCCACTTATAGCCATACGGCCCTCTGCGGAATCCATGGGGTTCACAAGAGTTCTTTTCACGATCACATTGGAACCGCTGGTTATCAATCCGAGTTTGTACCATCTATAATTCGGTGCTGGATTTCCATTGGCGAAGCATTTAAAGGATACAAAATCTTCCACATCGATCCCACTCACAAACCTGTGATTTTAATAGAAAATATTCTTCCAGACATCTGATATATCAAGTAATTTATTAAAATCTCAACAATTCCGCTTTACCATGCGTCGTCAGGTTGTGCCACAAAACAGGGCCCTCGAGAGATCGGAAGTGTATCATTTTGACCGTATTCAATTGTCCAACCATTTGGACGCAAATACTTAGCGTTGATTGATGGTGCTTGACATATATATGGACGCGCCTCTGTTGATGAGTCGATGTACCAACCCCATGAAGTTCCATTTGTGCCATAAACAAGTTTATCTCGAGACCTTGGATATGTAGGCATGTCCGAAACTGTTGGTGGTTTATCAAACCAGAGCACGTAAAGACTTGGACGAATTGCTTGCTTGTCCAAAGGCCAGCCTGACCATATAAATTCGCCAAATGGAGATTGTAGCATAGTGCCAGACGTATACCATCGCGTACTAAAAATATACACAAAAATAGAGGTACCTCCTTTTTAGCGAATTCATTTCCAGCCAGTTGCTGACAAATTCGTGTTCTTCAAAGCTACTTATGCGCAGCATTTGAGCTCCCCTACTCTGTATCTATGACAGAAAATTTCTTCAGACAAACCGAACAATCAGTATTTGCCATGGAATATGTAGCAAGAGGAAAATTTATAAATGCATAGCAATTCGTATCGAAACTGATCCAACCAGTTGGACAATCTAATGAGTCGAATGTCTTATTAATTAAATTACCTGATCTTATCTGGGAATCTTGCGGACAACCTGACCATGGGTTGTTTGGACTGCTTTTTGCGTAAGAAATCAAGAAGAATAGTAAATACAACATAATCACTCCTGTTCTTGGTCAAATTTTATGTCATGCTTTCCGGCTGTTTAAAGTTTCGCCATTTACATTTGGCCGGTGTTGACGAAGTACAACAACTTCTAGGTTAATTAAAGCCGGTAGTAAATGCTAACATGGTTCTCAAAGTGATGGGTATTTGCGATTCAAGGCGCAGAGTTATTTGTATAAGCTTGTAAATTACCACACTTTTATCTGTTATATATCTGTTTCTTGCGTTTTTATAGAATATTATTTTTACAACTACGACAATCTTCATCCTTACTTTACAGATCAAAAAAAACTTACTGGCTGATTGCCTTTGCCTTATTACGCCTCAAAAACCCCCTTTACAAATTGAACAATAGACTATCATAACTCTCGTTGCGAATCTTGGGTCTCGTTGTAGATGTAGGAACTCGAGGCTTCTCACAAGGTGGAAGGAGGCATTTAGTGAAGCTGGTGTAATGCTTTGTTTATGTGACTACCTGACGTTCGGCGGTCACTTTAGGGTTTGTCTTGCCATTATACACGTGGGCCGACCTTCGGGCCATGCTTGGGCCAATTTGTCTTGTCGTCTTCAGAATATATATGCCAAACTGCACTTACTGATTTCTTATAACGGCCAGGAGGTCCCGGGACACTACTACTGGATACATGTATTCCAAAAAAGGCAAAGCAACCGGGTCTGAGCGTGGCCCGAAGACTGGCTCACAAGAACGAGGATCAAGCAAATCCTAAAGTGACCGTCAAACGTCATGTGGTCACATAAACAAAGCATTATAGTAGGACCGCCCTGCCTACTCTCAGACCTCTGAACCTATGACTTCATAAAAAGGTTGGTTAGGGAAGGTTTGTTCGACATCTTGTACAGCCGATATCACCCTGCGAATACCTCTTCGAGCTCCTTCCGAACCAGATTCGCGTGTGTGCCGCCCGCACTCTCGCAAGTACTCACGGCATTGCTAAATCTACCAATGTATTCAATAATCTTACCACACAGTACAACCCGCACGGCTCCAAAATCACACCAATCAATATCAAAACCAATATGGACACCCAGTCCCAACAAAAATCCACTACGGGAAAATCCCAATTGGGGAAGACGTTTGGATGTACAGATGGAACCGTCCTGACCGAACCCATTTCTTAGCAGTACAGAAAACACTAAAAGGTTTATTGTATTGCGGTTCTTCTCAAAGACAGATCAAATGACCATTTGAAGGCTGAAACCAGGGAAGTTATTGCACATCGAGTCACAACATAAATAAATGTTTAAATAGACATAATTTGGTAAAGTAGGGAAGCAATGTACCGTGATAAATGCAAATGACGACAATAAAAGCGAAGACACGAGATCGGTTGGATAGGATAATCAGATCTGAGAGCAGCTTAGTAGAGCACAATGCGACCGGTCACGGTGCGACGACAGATGGGGCAAACGGCGACCTGATCCCCGCACCATTGGCAAGTCGCATGACCGCACATAAAAACCAGATTCCGTGATCGGTCCAAGCAGATGGGACATCGAGTCTAAAAGAGTCCAGTAATAGAGAGTAGAGAGCGTTACTTCCGGCCTCCGGAGTTGTCGCAACAGAGGGCCGTGTTTGATTCATCTGTGCAGATGGGACTAATTCGCAGACGACCGCATTGTGTTCACATGTTCATTAACAAAGGATGCAGTTAATAATTAATGCGCTAACCGCGTCTGACTATCTTATATCATGCCATTAAACTATGAATAGTCAAAGGAGGTGAAGAAGCAGCACTGTGAGGCAGCATAGGATTAGAAGATCTCTAGTTCTCCTTAATTGATCGTTTCAGTCGATATTTGCGTCCACCGAATGTGTTAACTATAGGATACCATTCAACGAAAAGTCATCATTTTTAAAATGTTCTACCTAGTCGGTTCGCCTGATGAGAGATAATATATGAAAGCCCTGTCTGACGAATATGTTAGGACCCCGAGGACGACCAATATGAGCAATCTGGAGGACCGATCTCGTAGTTATTGCTTCATAGCCATTGCCTTTTGGCCTTCCACGACCATTAGATACCTCTGTCAGAACTCAGCGCGATCGGACTATCGTTTGATGGGCAAGGGAAGGTGTAATGGGCCTCACCTGTTCACGCATAGCCTGCAGCTCATGTTGCAGGCGTTTGAGTTCACGGGATGATGATTGACCACTGGAGATGACTGAGCCTGAGGAACGCATGTTGTTCGGTCGAGCGTTGGTCCCACCCGCCTGAGTGTACCGAGGCAGTGTCTGAGAAATCGTCGAAGCGTTAAACCTATCCTTAGTTTAGTTCTGTCTTACACAACAACACCTTCCTGCGTTTTTGGTTGTGATGTAAGAATATTCAATGCCTCTGAAAATTGATTTGCTCAGACAGTTGAGCATCATTACATTCAACAACTTGCTTTAATACAATCACCCCTTTATTGCTACACGAAGGGACCTAAAATGATAAAGACGTCTATGTGCTTGCCACTATCCCATTGTACTCACTCAAGGAGTCAGTAACTTTTATTGCAATGTGAGAATTGGTGAAGCTCCGCTCCCTTTAAGAACCTCTGACTGGGATTTTGAGTAAATCAGACTTTCGATGATGACAAGTATCGCCTACAATAGACCCTGGGACAACTTTAAAAACTAGTTTTCATCCAAATGTCGACACTCTTGGTGCCCGTTGCAGTCTTGTTCTCGTTTTGACCTTTCAATGTTCAAATGGTATACACCATGTATAAGTTCCATCAATAAGGCCATTAACTCATGCAATGAACCAACATTTATGTTTGACGTCCTAAATATCGGGATCAAGTTAAGTGGAAGACAAATGTGTATTTGATTTGAGCAATTCAATTACCGAGTGTTAGTTGACCAAAGCTAAATGGCACGAGCAACAGGGAAGTCTGGTCTGCAATAACTAAAATTATGCGAGTAGAATCTAATCAAATTGAATTACAGAAAATTAGAACGTTTTGTAAGTAGGAGACATTAATTGAAGTGCAGTAAAGAAACAAACTCACTTCTCGTCCAGTCGAAGTTAAAATGCTTTTGGGGACAAGGCATCTTGGTGTCACTGAGGTACCCGCAACGACTAAATTGAAAAGACAGCCATAAGAATCGCGACCGATTGTCTTTGCGCTACTACCGCATTTTAAGTAAAACTTAATTTACAAAACATTGGATGCTTGCCTTGATTATTTTCAGAAGCTACCCAAACACCAGAGGTTTGCGAGGCAGCGATAGGTACAAGCAAGTCTTGTGAGTTTGTTGAAATCAGAGCAGTCCGCCTTGCTGTTCCAACGTCCGCGACAGATGAGGGAAGAACGGGGAAGCGTTCTATAGCAGTACTGACTCCACCAACGGCCACTTCAAGACTCCACACCGCAGTGACTATCTGCCCACATTCTGGACAGACGCCGTCAGGACAGAGTTCGCCAGCGTTAAAGAGTGAAAGAAGGAGCTGTTGACGTCGCTGTTCTCCCTCCCCTTCGCCCATTAACCACTCCGGTTTCATTTGTTCATCGTCATTGTCACCCGCTACTTCTAATGCTCGGTTCAGCCGAGCCACCCGAGGCACTAGACATTCTCGACAGACGAGGAAGTGGTTGCAGGAGCGTGTTAGAGTAACTGCAGGTCTGAAGGTGCATTCTCGACAGGCTGGAATCTACA